AAGTATGATCAAATAGCATAGAAAGAAAGAGCATTTTTTTCTCTATCATCCTGTGTAAAAAGAAACTTTTATCAAGCTTACTAAGTGGTACTAAAATGTCGTTGCCACTACTTTTGGATACTCCTAAGTAGATGACCACAGACAACAACATTTTCGCATTGTACGATAACAGTAAAAGTAAAAGATATTTGTCTTTTAAATTAACACATTTACAAGTGGTTAATTCTTTAGTAATCGAGCAAGAGCAATTTTCTCATAGCCTTGCTAGCCAATGTACAACAGCATTGCCTACAATTTACCAAGAATCATTGGATCAAGCTTTGACGAATTCTTTATTTAACTCGATAAATGTATGTCTTTTATTCAGAATGATAACGAAAGATCATAATGTATGTGATTTTGTTTCTAGCCTCGACCATTATCTCTTTACATATATGATGATCAAAGTCCAGCTACAGATATTTTTAATGAGCTTGTTCTATACTCAGAATCAATTAATGCCTATCTTGCTGCACAATTTATTTAATGGAAATGGAATTTAACAGAAGATAATTATCATGAGTAAGTTAAAATAACGAACAAATAGAAAAATCGATTTTATACATCTAGACTTTTGACGATAGTTGCGACATATGTAGGTGAAGAAGTGGCAACAGTAATCGATTCGTCACCGACTGAACTTTATCCATTGCTTATATGTCTAGGATTCGACCGAGGCCAAATTAAAGTTGAATGCGTTATTCAGGGTATAGTTTCAGACATTGAAGCATTTGCTCTTCTTATTCAAACTCGAGATGCATTTGATGCTCGATTTGAATTGCCAGATACAAGTGGTTTAAGTTTGACAAATATTTCAAGAGAAAATTAGTCGATACCAGCAAGCACTTTGATACAAGTGCCAGAAGAATCAGATGAATTTCAAAGAGTTGCTGCTGATTTCGATGGGAAAGCATCATCAATTGTTCGTATTGATCGAATTGAAAATGCAGTATGGTTAATGCAATATCTAAATCAGAAACAGATAGTTGATGCTCGACTTGGATATGATGACACAGAAGAACTACTATTTCATGGTTGTCCATATGCAGCAGCTGAACAAATTCTTCAACAAGCATTTGACCATAGTCGTATTGGAAGAAATGGTAAAATCAACTGAAGAACAAATTCGAGTTTGACTTCGAGTGATTTTTATTTCAGGTACTTATTTTGGTTATGGATTTTATTTTTCAACAAGTCGACAAGTTAGTGATCGATATGCAGTACCAAATTCTTCTACAGATGAAAAAAGAATACTCATGGTGTCGTGTATTGGTTGGTCGAAGTTGTGAAGGTAACTCAACAATGAGAACATGTCCGTCAAATTATGATTCAACAACAGGTGGATCAAATATTTATGTTGTTTATTCTAATCGGCATATCTTACCAGAATATCTCATTACATATAAATAAACTTTGTAAATAAATCTTTGTGAAACATGTTTAGCTCTTTATTAAGTTATTATTTTTAAATCTATGTAATTGTTAAGTATTGCCTTCTTCAAATATGGTCATGGAAGTTTTGCTACTTTACATTTATTGTTGCATAATTCATCGTAGAATTTTTCTTTGGCTTCTTTCACATTGTTGAGATTTAGAGCCCACCTGGTGGCTGAAAGACTCTTTTTGAGGATAGATTTGGTCGCAGGTGATGGTGTGCGTGCGTTAGGTAAATACCGATATTTATGCGCACACCATCTTGCCTATTGGTTACCGTGAACAGAATAATATAGATCCAAATGTCGCTATACATCTAAATGATCCACATGTTTGTCGATTTTGCGTTGTCAAGATAATCAACTCGTGTAACTGAACGATGAGGGTTGTTTGTATGGATATTTGCCATGTTTTTGGACAGTTGTGGATGATTGTGCATTTTACACGAAACCAATCAGATACGAATTATCGATCACGTGAAATAGAGAATGTGTACATAACTGAATCTACAAGAGAAATGTTTGATGTCTTCTTAAGAAATAGAACGGATTTTCATTTCGAAAATAGTTGGAAGCAGAAATGAGTTTGTACACTTACTGTACCAAGATCAATACTATCACTAATATTCAATACCAATCGATACTAATATCCATCAGTATCATGAATGGTGTTATGGTATTCAATCTCAAGTGCAAATACTAGTATCGATTATTGATATACCTCGAACTCTGATCGAAGCATCAAGTTTATATTTAATGTAACAGAAAATGTAACTTTTGTGAATTTCAAATTCTTTTAAACGTACTCTATTTTATTGAAGTAATCACTCCGTCAAAATGGAAGTGACTATTTAAACATCTGCCATTCTGCACGAAAGAAAGTCTTGTCGTCGCTGGAAGATATTGTCAAATTCTTTAGAGCCCATCCCAATGATAAAGATCTTGGAACCTTGGCTTTTGTTGGCACGGAAAATTATTGAGCAATTATCGAAGAGAAAAAGTATTAAAATGCATATGATATTGAAAGAGGTTTTAATTCAAAAACAAAAAGAATAAGGACAAAAACTATATCTTATCATTTTTATTTCATAAATTATACGAAACTGTTCCATTATAGCTGCGATTTTGTTGTAAACGTATTGACTCGTTTCATTGGCTAACGGTTTACAGAATGTATGTTGATAAAGGTGATGTGAAAAAAAAATCGTTCGAGTTTTTACTACCAGTATAAAGGACACTCACGATTTTATACATTCGACATCAGCAGTTGCTTATGAAATTACTAGACAGTCGCGAGCACTTATTGAACGATTGTTTGGATTGTAGACAATTGATAAATGCAATAACTCATCATGAGTTTAAGGATAAAAGTTTCACATAGTTCTGAGAATATATATGCATCGAAAATTGTAGAGAAGTACTAAAGAATATTTCAACGAATCAAAACACAATCCTAAACACACTTATATGATATTCAATTGATTTCAATAAAGATGAAATATTAATATTAAACTTGAACATTTCTCCTACAACTCGAATAAATTACGAATAATCATCAGTTCCAATGGTGATGAGGCCCTGTAAATATATTAGCAAGATTAACATGCTGAAGGAAATGTACTAAAGTTAACAACAATCAAACAAGATGAATAATGCATCAGTTGCATGTTGTTTCATTCTGAGATAGTCTGTAATCCATACAATTGATATCACTTATGTCAATCATGTTCAACAAAAAACTACTAGCTGAATTCAAAAGTGTTCCAATTGTAAAAGTGAAGCAAATGACTATTCTGATTATGAAGAAAAAACTTCAAATTAGTATGAATTTTAGATCTTAAACAACAGATAATTTCGAAGATAATTTTTTTCTAAATTTCACATGAATCCACGAATCATAGCGTCTGTCAGTATCAGAGTCAAAAAGTTTTTCAAAAAATAATATCTCCTACGTAGTTTGTCAGGACGCCAATAGTTTTATTCATGACGTTTTTACATAATAAAGTTTCAGCACATACAGATAATGTTGTTGTCGAAGAAACTCTTTGTACGTTAAACCTATGTTTAATAAAATTGAAAGAATAATTTGACTGAAACTATACATCAAAGTAAAATTTCATGAAGAAAAGGAAATATTTCATAATGTTATTGAATTTGTTTGAACTATAGAATTGCATAATGATTTGCTTAATACAATACACATGCTCAACGAAAAATATCTCTGCAATGTCTGATAATGGGAAAAAATAAGTAATTATGATGGCTCTGTTTTTATCTACTTTTGATGTGTTTTCTGATTTTTGTGGTGGACTATATTGTTTTTCTAGTTCTTTTTATCTTTAAATATTAAGTACAGACAAAAATTATTATGCAAATGTGTAATATGCGTTCCTTCAAACTGATTAATTTGATCAAAATCGATACATTCATTTACAGTAATAAAGGATTTAAAATAAAAACTATTGGAAAGAGTAATACTTCGGTCTGTATACGTATCATTCATAACTTGTAGGAAAAATCCCGAATGGTATAGCTTGGTTTTTTCCTAGTGCATTTAAATCATCAAGCATGTCAAATTTTGCCTTTCCGTTTCTGCACGAGTGATATGTCACGATATGATGAGTCAGTCGGAAAAAAAGAATGAAAAATGACCTCATTTTTTCAACATATAAAAGCTTATTCTATCGTAGTTTAAAACAAACATGGGACAAACCGTAAATAGACGACTTAGAAAATCGGACGATCGATTAGATAAAATGGGTAGTATCAAAATCAGCAATCGATCGGTATGTCAATACATTTTTTTTAATTTTAATCACTGAAATTAATATAGCAGACTCCAGGCAAAAATATTTTCAAATTACACGGTGATAGAAAAAGTAAGAGAATTTTTTTCAATTTAATACATTTTAAAATGGCTATTTTTTTTGATTAATTGATCAAGAGCACTCTTATCGTAGCCTTGCTAGTCGATTTACAACAGCATTGTCTCCACATCGCCAAGATTCATTAGATGAAGCTTTAACGAATTCTTTGTTTAACTTAACGAATGTAAGTACGTTTTTTATCCAGAATGAAGACGAAAGATTATAATGTATCCGATTTTTTCTAGCCTCGACCATTAGCCCTTTATATATATGATGATCAAAGTCCAGCTACAGATAACTTTAATGAACTTGTGCTATATTCGGAATCAATTAATACTTATCTTGCTGCACAATTTATTTTATGGAAATGGAATTTAACAGAAGATAATTATCATGAGTAAGTTAAAACAACGAACAAATAGAAAAATCGATTTTATACATCTAGACTTTTGACGATAGTTGCGACAAATGTAGGTGAAGAAGTGGCAACAGTAATCGATTCGTCACCCATTGAAGTTTATCCATTGCTTATATGTCTAGGATTTGATCAAGATCAAATAAAAATTGAAAGTGTTATTCAAGGTATAATGTCAAACAGTGAAATATTTGCTCTTCTTATTCAAGCGCAGGATTCATTTGGTGTTCAATATGGATTGCCAGATACAAATGATTTAAATTTGACAAATATTTCAAGAGAAAATTGGTCGATACCAGCAAGCACTTTGATACAAGTGCCAAAAGAATCAGATGAATTTCAAAGAGTTGCTGCTGATTTCGATGGCGGAGCATCATCAATTGTTCGTATTGATCGAATTGAAAATGCAGTATGGTTAATGCAATATCTAAAACAGAAACAGATAGTTGATGCTCGATTTGGATATAATGACAGAGAAAAACTACTATTTCATGGTTGTCCATATGCAGCAGCTGAACAAATTCTTCAACAAGCATTTGACCATAGTCGTATCGGAAGAAATGGTAAAATGAAGTGAAGACTTAATTCAGGTTTCACCTTGATTGATTATTATTTCAGGTACTTCTTATGGTCATGGATTTTATTTTTCAACAAGTCCTTATGTTAGTGATGGATATGCAGTACCTAATCCTTCTACAGGTGAAAAAAGAATACTCATGTGTCGTGTATTGGTTGGTCGAAGTTGTGAAGGTAACTCAACAATGAGAACATGCCCGTCAAATTACGATTCAACAACAGGTGGGTCAAATATTTATGTTGTTTATTCTAATCGACATATCTTGCCAGAATATCTCATTACGTATAAATAAATTTTGTAAATAAATCTTCGTGAAACATGTTAAACCTCTTTTTAAGTGATTGTTTTTAAAGCCATCGAATGGCTAAGAGACAGTTCATGAAAATATCGAACATTAAGCCACAGAGCCATATTCTCGAAAATTTTGACCTCTATATTTTATGATCGCGAATGG